ATATCAAGTATATCTACCATTAAAATAATACAGCACGATTCTATCACAGACTTAATGTTTTCTTAAAAAATAAATAATTGAATAAAACTATAAAATACCTTTTTTTTTTCAATAATTTACTTTGGTAGTTCAATTAGAATTGTGCTGTCTGATATTTATTAAATATATTTAGATCATTGAATAAATACATACATACATATTTCTAAGTGTACAAACCTGTGCCCCATAATAGACTGTTTTCCTTCAAGTACAGGGAAGTTTTTATTCACCAACTGAATTAATTCAGAAGTAATATAACTGTACATTTGATAGTTATCACTCCACGGTTTCTGAGTAGCATTCAGGTAAAATCCAGCTGCTACTCCAAAATCCCATGATTCACTGTCTCCAGGAATGCTTAAGCCTCTGGGTGAGGTGTCTGGGTTAACTATTATTACTCCATTTTCAGAAGCATACCTCGACATTAATTAAATACAAAATTATCTTTTTTTTAATTATTAAGTTTTTTTTATTAAAAAGTTAAAACTGTAGGTCTACCTTTGTGCTCCAGCTTTTTGAATAAAGTTTGCCTCAGAACATGTTAAACCAGACAACCAATAAATAACTGGTAATTTTGTATCTTCACATTGAGGGGGTAGATAAACCCCAAAGTTCATTTTACATCCTAGCACTTTAGAATCATGAGCATATACCTTCTGATAACCTCCAAAAATTTTGTTCGAAGAAACCTCTGATATTATAAAAGCCATATTATACTAAAACACTGATACGACTGAGATATACATGGAAATTGATGTTTAGTACTATATACCGTTAATTAATATTGATTATTTTACTTACACAATAGGTACAAACGGTTCAATGCAACTCAAGGTTAGCGGTTAAAAATTGCTTAAATGTGTTACGTTTTTTTTTTAATTTTTGGGACAAACAAATACATAGATTCACAAAAAATAATGACTTGATAATAACAACTTTTTATTTTACATAAGACACATCCATATAAATTTAGGCTTTATTAGTAATTGCAGGTGTGTTAAAATAAATACATTTTACTTTAATGAAAATGCAAGAACGTTCTTCACCATTCTCTGGTTTTATTCCTTTCATATCATAGATATTTAAGTTAAGTGTTTCATATTTTTTATGTTTTTCATCATTGATTTGGTACTTTTTTTTTATGTAATAGTTACTTTCGACCATATAACATACTATATTATTGATTATAAGGTTCACACATACGGTTAAAGGGTGGTATGGTTATAATAGTTTGATAACTTCTATTCTATTACTCTATGTATATCTGTTATCTATGCTTTTATGGTAATTTATATAAGTATGGCATGTGTCGTAATCGAACCAAGAAGTCATAGATAATAGATATACAACGGGTAAGGCAAGGAATCTTGTCGGGTGAATATGGCATCCGATGTACGCAGTCAATGGTCTTTTTGTAATTCATAGATTGTATATCCAGTGCTGGTAAGGATAAGTGAGTTAGAAAAGTTATATAGAATATGAATAATTTATCACTTTTTGCTTTTCATTATTTAGTGGTACTAAAATAGTCATAAATAAGCATAATACATGGAATATTGTAGAAGTCCTCTTTCACTCCACATCTCCAGAAAGTAGCAGTAGAAGCGTCAAGCAGAAAACATGAAGAGATTATTTATTTATTTACTTATTAACGCTGTCTTTTCCCTTCGAGAAGAGTTTACAGGTAACTGATTCTACTTCTTAATCTAGAGCTACATTGCTTACCCTAATTAATATTAATAGCTTGATCCAATTAACTTATATATTTGAAATTAGCTTAGTAAAATATTAAATTACATTTGCAGTTTGAGATCAGTACCCTTATAATACTTTTTGGATTAAAAACAGTAAATTAGTTATTAGCCTTGGTGTTTTTTGAGTTTTTATTATACTTTATACCTTCCAGTTTTGGTTTATCTTTGGTTTCTTAGTGTGTAATTATATCCGAATCTATTACAATATTTGCTAAATAAACCTCGTTTTGATGTAAACAGCGTTTTAATTATTAAAACTAACACGTCTATTGAGAAATTTATAGTTATAAATACTGGAAATGAACATAAATTTTGATAGTACTAGTGCAATTAAACGTTTCAAGGCTGAGCGATGTAGAAAAACGAAAATCAAGACTGCTATATAGTTGATCCCGCGCTAAAAATTGGTACTTTGAAAAAGACCTCTTGCGACTTATGCTCTCCTAATACAATAGTTGAAATTTATGAAAATTTTCGGTTTTGATCCAAATACGAGGGTTAGTCAAAAAGTAATTGAAAAATCCAATTGTTTTTCGAAATTTGTTCCGTAACTTTTTGACCAGCCCTCGTATATGACGCAAAACAGAAAATTTTGTTAAATTCGAAAATTTGTATTAGGAGAGCATAAGTCGCAAGAGGTCTTTTTCAATTTTTGATTTTTCCATTACTTTTTGACTAACCCTCGTATTTGGTTTAAAA